AGTAAAAATAACATCTTAATTTTATGATGGTACATGCACACAATTAATACTTAAGAGAAATAGAGAAATACAGTCGCCAAGTTAATGTCCATTCAAATATTGGACTCCACTCCCTCCCCCTCTTCTCACACTACACTGCTGGCTCTTCCCTCTCTGAGAAATTTTGGGGGGAAAACCACTAAATTTTAATAAATAATACCTCAAACTAAAGTTAGGATAATACAATTGACATTGCTGGATTCCTTGTAAGACCAGGAATATTTTGAATATAAATGTCATATATTTGGCACAAAAGATAACATATTTACTCAGAGTAAACATTATATCTAAAATTTGTATGTCTAATCCAAATCTATGATGTTTATATTCAAAATGATCACCAAATTGTAAGAATTCCAGCAATATAAATTATATTCTGGCCGGGTAATTTGTATGAATTTTATGAGCTAAAACAAATATCTTCAGTTAATAAAAAAAAAAAAAAATTTTTCACCACACTATCTGTCAATCAAAGTACCCCACAATGCCTCCCCCCCTCTTCCAACCACAGGGTCTGTCCCAACCCTCCCCCCCACCCCCCACCAGTCCTCCCTTCAAGAGATGTTGGGTGAAAAAACTAAATTTTAACATTTAGTATTAAATAATATCTCAGATTAAAGTTAGGATAATATAATTGACATTGCTGGATTCCTTGTAAGACCAGGAATATTTTGAATATAAATGTCATATATTTTGCACAAAAGATAACATATTTACTCAGAGTAAACATTACATCTAAAATTTGTTTGTCTAATGCAAAAATCTATGATGTTTTTATTCAAAATGATCATCAAATTATAAGAATTCCAGCAATGTAAATTATATTCTGACCCGGTAATTTGTATGAATTTTATGAGCTAAAACAAATATCTTCAGTTAATAAAAAAAAAATATTCTTCTCACGGTAACAGATGGTCGGTCCCTCCCTACCAGATGTGTGGGAAAACCAGAATATTTACCTTTTTAGTAATAAATAATACCTCAAACTAAAGTTAGGATAATATAATTGACATTGCTGGATTCCTTGTAAAACCAGGAATATTTTGAATACAAATGTCATATATTTTGCACAAAAAATAACATATTTACTCAGAGTAAACATTATATCTAAAATTTGTATGTCTAATGCAAAATCTATGATGTTTATATTCAAAATGATCATCATATTGTAAGAATTCCAGCAATGTAAATTATATTCTGGCCGGGTAATTTGTGAGCTAAAACAGGCAGGCAGGCAGGGTGGCAGGTGGGGGGTGGGGCGAATCTAAAAATAGCTCTCAAGCCGGACACTCTGCGCGTATATGTGGAAAAAAACCCTGTTAAGTGAAAGTTCGGCTCTGGCGAGGCACCGCGTATATGTTATATGTGAAATCGCGCAAAGCGGAAACCGTGTTAAGCGGGGTATTACTGTATGTGAAAAGGTGTATTTCTTTTTTAATGGGTACTGTAATATAAAAAAAAAGAAAAATTAAGTTATTTTATTTAATCACATAGCTGCTTAAGAAATCTGGAAAATAGTTTGTCAAGATGCCATTGCCTCTCCCAGATGCAACCATTGTAGGTGGTGAATGATACAAATTGGTAGTTCTGCCGGCATCATAAATAAGTGACATTTTATATGTGGCTGTTTTATTATAAACAAGATGCATCATTTGGTCTAGCTACAGCTATTGTATATACTACAGATTACATTTGATCTGATTTAAAATTTTCTCTGGTTTTAATGGAGATATCTTTTAATTTCCTAGTGGTGAGTGACTTAGTGTCACTGTACTGTAATGGGTTGATTCTGTCCAACCCAATCAAGAAGTTAATCTGTGGTTAATGACATAGTTTTGGCTTTCACGAATAGTGACTGGAGATGGTATTTATTAAACCTTCTAGTTAAGATACCTTGGGTAAATAAAAAAATATAGTAATGAGTTATTACAGAAATTAAGACAGGATCTTGCTCCCCTTTGCCCAAGTGAGGATGAAGACAGAATTGTACAGTATCTAATGTGACCAGAAGAGCTGAGGGTCTTGTTGGTGTTAGATTACCTCTTTTAGAGGATTCCAGAAACAGGTTCCCTAGGGCCCCAAAATTGATTTTGAATGGATTAAGATAGCTGAGCCACATAGGAACTCTGTTCCAAATCGGAAGATTCATTTATCTTAAAGGTTTTTTGGTTGAAGTGATTCATGAAAATTTAATTTGGCCATTAGGCTCAAGTTGTTATCTGTTACAACTTTTTAATGTCGTAAATCCTTGGCAGTTCACAGAATAATTTTAGACATTAAATGACTTGATCCATGCCTAAGTTAAGAATTAGGAATTAATCATTAACCCTCACCAAGCTGATTCCTCTTCCTTAAGGGGCATTCTTAACTAAATATTTTTGGGCTGTATTTTCAAAAATTACTCGTACAGATCTATGTATTTTGAAGGATTGAACACGGAAAAAATTATGAAAAGTCTATACTCACCCTGTAGTGCCTGGTAGAATTGTCAAGTTGCAGATGGAATGAACTGGTTGGAGGGGAAGGTTGGGTCCCAGTGGTGGTGGTAGGAGGAGGGTGGTAACTGGAGGAGGTGTGTGTGTGGGCAGACTGAAAGTTGCTGCTCCTAAATCAAGAGCGAGCATCCCATGATCCTTAGCCAATCAAGTCACACCTTCTATCAGAAACAAATCCTGCAATTTTCATTAAAAAATGTGTGAATTATGAAATTGCAATTTTCATTAAAGAAAATAAGGCATGAATTTGAAAAATTCAAATGAAGTCTTTAGCGTGCAAGACAGGCATGCAAAATACTCATTTGGCCGCTGTAGCATTTATTGGGTTAAGTACCATTATACAGGTTGTACCTCTCTAGTCCGGCAACCTCGGGACCTGACCGGTGCCGGACCATGGAAATTTCCAGACCATGGAAATTTACCCTTTTCCTGGATAGATAGTGACTTGTGCTTACGCTTGGAAGCACTAGCACCACTTTCTCTGCTTCATGGTCTCTTTGAAGACATATTGAAAGGTTAAATGTCGTACAGTAGCTTCTCAAATTTCGCGAGTTTTTAATTCGACGTTTTCTATTTAACACCAAAAAAATAACACATTTAAAAATTTTGACGGCGGAAACTCGAATTTTGACGGGTTTGAACGGCCCACCAACGTTCAGACGACGTGCACAATCGTATAAACAGCATCATTTCTCTTATGTACAAAAGTTTCATTATTGTTTATTACTGAAAGTCTTTTTGATTGAATTAATGTTTGTGTGTGCAAAATGAGCAATACAATTCATTAATAATACGTAGAATATTAAAACACGAGGAAATGAGACAGCATTGTTTTCGTTGATTACAAAACCAGTGACTGACTGGTTCTACATATAAAACTGAAGAAAATAAGACCCTGGTTGTAGCAGTAGTAAAATTAATATGGTTGTTTTAAGTAATGTTATTTAATGTTAATAAATGGAACAATAGAAGTAGCTAACGATAATGGTAAAGAAAAAAAGAGAGATCGCGTATGTAAGTGCGCACACGTGAAAACATATCGTCATTACTTTACATAAGCATATGAAAGCAACACTTATTTACTGTTCATATATATTTTAATTAATGTTTCTGAATTTGTTTTTATTGAATTAATGTTTGTGTGTGCAAAATTAACAATACAATTTATTAATAATGAGGAGACGACACGGCTGCCGGCATTGTTTATGTTAAAGCTTACAAAACCAGTGACTGATTGGTTCTACATATAAAACTGAAGAAAATATGACCCTGATTGTAGCTGTAGTAAAATTAATGTAAAAAAAATTAATATGGTTGTTTGAAGTACCTGTAATGTTATTTAATGTTAATAAATGGAACAATATAAGTAGCTAACCATTAATGGTAAAAAAAAAGTGAGACTGCTCGTATGTAAGTGCGCACATGTGAAAATATATCGTCATTACTCTACATAAGAATATGAAAGCAACACTTATTTACTGCTCATATATATTGAAGGGTTAAATGTTGTACTCTGTATAGACAAGCAGAGAGAGAGAGAGCAGCCGAACTGCCGGATGTAAACAAACCTTAATTTCCCGCGGCTTTTTTTTTTTTTAAGGGGATTAGCCCACCCGGGCATAGGTCACTGACCCACATTGGGGCCTGAGGGGCAAAAATTTAATACTCCTGTAATAATAATAATAATTCAGATAAAAAAAAAAAAGAAAAAAAAAAAAGAAAGCTGCCTATCTACCTATTGGACAAACTAAAATCGTTCCGGACCACAGAATGCGGGACTGAGAGTACAACACGAATGAGGCATGGATCGAACCCCAGCTCAGATCCCTCATTTTCCTTTTTGGAGTGCATACTGTAGGGTGCAAGTGTTAATATCTTTGAGAACACTCATTCTTCCGTTAACGCTGACGTGTCAGGTTCCTCCCTTTTTTTTTTTTTTTTTGTTAGTTATAGTTAGAATGATTGATTGTATTTTTTATAATTAAATCCCATACATACCTAACAAGGGTACTGGGAATTCTTATTGTTAAACTGGAGACTTTTGACTATACGTGAGTTGCCTGATCAGTGCTTGGTTATAAGATGTGATTTCAGAATCGGTCCAACATTTTTTTCATGAAAATAAAGATGAAAATGAAATACAGAAAGTTTGAATACAGGTAGCAGAGAATTGATAAAAAAGGATATTCAGATGTATATGAACTGATTGAAATAGTTTTGTATTTACATTTTTTTGTTAATGTTTCATTGTGTAATGATTGTCAGGTTACAAAGTAAAGATATTGAGGCAGAAAAACAAGATCATGGAGTAAGAGTTGTAAATATCTGTAAAGTTGTTTAGTATCCATTATATGAAAAGAATTTTCATCTGGCCCAGTCTGCTTAAGCACTAGAAATTTTTGAAGATATGGAAAAACTTTTTGTAGTGTTGTGTACAAAATATCATAATGTTTATATTTTTGGCAGAATTTGAACATGATCCTGCCCGATGAGGAAGCTGCCACGCGGAGGAGAAGTGCCGGTGCTAATGAACAGGTGACACTATTATCCCCTCCAACTTTTTCTCTTCCAGCTTCTTCCTTATAAATCTTTTTTAAACCTTTGAGATATTTTATTTATAGAATATTGTTGAACTGTTTCCTCAGCTGCATCAAATGCTGTAGAACAAAATGCAGAGCTTATTCTTAAGTGATAGGACACTTTTCATTACCATGAGTGTTGAACAACAGATATTACTGTTTTGCTGCTTCTGGTGTAATAATTTAAAATTTTGCTCATGAAGCCATACCTTGGACATGAACAAATTTACACAGAAAGTAGATGCATACAGTACATTCTGGGAAAGAGGAAAGGCTCAGTGCAGCTTTGTGTTAGCATAGTGGCAACTGCAGTAGCCTCGGATTATTTTATGACTTTTGATTTCCATTTTATTTATTTTACTTCTGCTTAAATTACTACCATTTTCATATAAGTGAACCCATGGTTGTCTGAGAGGAGGATCCAGATTAGCTGAAGGTCGAAATATCAAGATTAAGTACAGGTGTATAGAAAACACCCCCATTTGACACAACAGTTCCCAGATGACCACGGAGTGAATTATTGTTATAGTACAATACAAAGTCCTAAACACAAAAACCTTGGGGTCTTGGGTTTTTTTTTTTTTTTTTTTTCAAATTGAAATTTTCAAGCCATATATAAATTTTATATCTCAGAATTCTTTATAAATTAATAATAATAAAAAAAATATATAGTAAATAATGATAATGGCAACACCTTTACTGTACCTGTCCCACACCAGTGGTAGTGACCAAGTTAAATGAGAATAAGGTCCTGTTCAAACTGGTTTACGTGCAGCATAAGCATTCATAATTAGAATATTAAATAATGAATAATATGAAATAAGTTGTACTGTACTAAGAGAGAGAGAGATTTTCTTTACAAACTCAATACTGTATAGACTAATTATGGAAGAATGAAGAAATATCTGGTAAAAGAGGATAATGACAACACATCCTGCACCTGCCCCCACCAGTGGTAGTCAACTATACATGAATAAGTCCTCTTTACTCACAAGCTTCATGTTCTCTCATGGACTTTCTTACATAAAACACATTTTACTCAAATTCGTAAGAAGAAGAATAAGTGAGAAGTAAAGAAAACGAGTAAGGATTACAAAGATAAAGAGGCATAAGAGAAAGAAAAAGGAATATGGAATAAGAGTAAAGGAGAAGAAGTAAGAATAAGAATCATTTTAAACACTTTAAATTTATTATAAATTAGAAAAAAGTAATGGAGGATGCTTTGAACATTTGGATAAGGTGCATACAATTATATACAGCGTCACTAAGTGATCTAATGATTCAGGCTGAGACAACAGAAATTCACGCTCATTTCCCCGAGAGATGGGAAGCCACCTCGTGACAGTAAATTCACAGCAGCCAGGGCTGGCTTCACAGCTTTATTAAACATGCTGAGTTAAGCCACATGATTCACTGTGGAGGCTGCATCAGCTTTGGTAGAAAGAGTGAAGGTAGAAAATGCATTAAACGATAGAGGAGGGTGCAGGAAACAAAAATAATTTTGGGTTTATTTAGATGACGAAGAAACTAGCATATATATACCTGTATATACAGTAAAACCTCGATAAATTGTACTTAAATATATCAGAAGTCACTTTTTTCGGACTCAGATGCTCTGGTCACCAGAAATAAAAAAAAATAATAAAAAAAAAATTAAGAAATGGGGAAGATTACCCTGTAATTAATAAACCTCATGAAATGTACTACACTTATTGAATACTGTACAGTGGTCTAATCAGGTTTTCTATAGTCCTGCTGAGAACTAAGACACTTGAGTATGGAAGCAGGCTGGGGCTGATCAGGTGTTGCCACATTTGTCAGGTTTATTTATTTATTGATTCAGTATTATGTTATCATATGATTGGCCTTTTATGGTATATGGTTCATAATGAATAATATAACATCTTCAGTTATAGAGAAAAAAAGTACAATACTGTCTGTAATTTGTAATATGACTTGAAAATAAAAGGATAAGTTGTGTCAGGTTATTTACTCAAGATGTGTTCGTGTGAGAGCTTTCAGCAAACCAGCTTACAACAGGGGTCACTATAACACACTGTATAGTATTTTATATGAAGATACCTTCCTAAAAACGTTATTTACTACCTTTTGAGTGTTATGTGATGGCTCAATTTGGCTATTTGTACACTTAGATAACGATTAATGAATAAACCAGAGTATGTGCAGATGCATAATACTGTGCACTACAATATTTCTTATTAAGTGATGATAAATACACTACAATAGTATTAAGTGATGATAAATACACTACATTAGTATTAAGTGATGATAAATACACAACTGTACTCTTCTAATTTACTAAGTGTTGAACACAGAAGTTGTGGTAAGCCAATCAGCTGTTTGCCCTTTGTAAACGAATAACTCACGGTTTTTCAGTCTGGTATCCTTTTTTCAAGAAAACTGATTCTTTTAAGATCATATTTTATCAACATAGTACCAAATGATCCTAAATTATATGAGACTTGTGGTGAAAATACATGAAGAAGTGTTAAAGAAATCTTGGAGGAGGGAGCAGCCCACCCATGCTACCCCCTGTCCCCTCTGCCAGCAGCTCACAGATAAACATTCATCTTCCTCATACAATATACTCCTACACTTATTTGTTCTTATTTTTATCTTTATAGTACTGTACAGTATACAGTTTTCTCTTTGTTCATGAGACAAATGCGTTGGTTACTTACATATAACACTTTACAGTAAATAACAATCATCTCGGTGACAACAGTATTTGATAACGAGACTTACATGTCTGATTTTCAACCCAGTTTGTATATTTTCAGCCACTGGCTGCAACTCTATTAATAAACTGTTTATTATTAATATTATTATTATCTCACACACACATGCACACACACACACTTACTTCAATATTACAGTGGCTGATATCAAATGCCAGGTCCAAATAATGTCAGGTACTGGACATAGGAGCTTGGTATAAGATTTAATACTCTAGGAAAGCACTAGTTGAAGGCAGAGTGACATTAAATTCATATTGACTGATGAACAGGAAGGCTGTCCCTATAGCTAGAACCAGGTCCAAAGGAAAGCAAGACAGAGCCTAGTCACTCAACCAAACAGCAGACCAAACCCTCTCCTAGTGGGTCTCCCAGTCACCACTTTTATGCTGAAACAAGGAGTATGCTCCTTATATCACAATGGAGGAGACCTCTGCTGACCAAGTCCTGCCTTACAACAGAATGTAGCAGGACCTCGGATGGGCAGGAGTCTATACTCTGGAGCTCAGTGGACACTGGTGAACTGGCTACCACCACACAACTGTAGAGTTAAACAAACACCCATCACAACAATGAACTGAACAAACAGTTAATTACAGGCAAATACACCAAGTAACAAATTCACAACTTCATACCAAATATGTGAAACAATATGCAAGTAACACAAGTATATCATATAAAAATACTTACAAAACAGTGAATAAGGAGAGTGGAGGAAACTGTACTTCCAATATGAGAAATGTAGCGTGAGTCATGGTTGGAGGTGGTGGTATCCCAGACACAAGCTCGCTTACCAGTGTTGAACACTTTGCAACACAACCACCACATAAGCTCGCTTGCAGGCTTGAATACTCTCTAATACAGTCACCTTGTAAGCTTATTGTGCTTGAAGGTTTGAATACTCTCTGACACATTCAACACACATGACACTCAAACCCTAACATTGAACTTCTTAAATTAAAACAAATGGACAGATGCCTCTAAACAGGCAACATAGCAGTTTACCAGATGCACATCTGTAGTCACCAAAAGGTGACAATAACTACCCTGACACATTTAACTTCTGTAGGAAAATATCTTAAAGCTGCTGGTTAACATGATTAACCGGCATCCAGTCATATTACCGTTTCTGTTAATTTGTGAGATGGCTGTTATGTATTATGCTATTTAATTTTTATTTTTATCCAATTTTTATAGTTTTTGTACAGTTCTGAATATTTTTCCATGGTGTACCAGAGCACTACATTTGTTTTTGTTTTTAGTAAGGTAATAAACCTTTCAAGCATTGTTTGGTGAATTTCTTGGGCCTAATGTCTCTAACACCTTATTTGGTACAGTATTAACTTGCCCATCATTTTAAATTGCGCTATAACTATTTTGCGAATGTTCTCGGTACCTATTTCACGAAATAACCCGAGGCTACTGTACTAAAAACCATCCACACACACACACACTGTACACCATTGTCTGGCACACTTGACACTTTGTTCTAGACTTTTTATTGTTTAATTTTTTTTTAAGTTTTGCTGATAATTCCAAAAAGCAAAATTGCAGACCACAGTATTGTGTATAAAAAAAAATTGTCCTCTATGAACATGTTATGATAAACATCTGCTGCAGTTCAAGCAGGAAAATTTTCCCATTACAGTGATACAGTATTAGAGATGGATGTCACATCTGCATCTGCAGGTATCAAATTTTCATATCCGCATCTCACTATTATGGCCAGACAGGAATGGTTTATCTAGATTTCTGTTTTTGTAATATCCAGTTTAATAGGGGTTTACTGTATTTGTTTTTTGTTTGTTTTTTCATAAAAGTATTAATTTGAGATTTTTTAACCCCTGGGCTTAGGACTATGGTTGAACCCCCCCCCCTCATGCAGGTATATTCAGGAAAATTTAAAAACTAATACAGGCAGTCCCTGGGTTCCTTATGAGTTCTCTTCCTACTGACATTAAGTCGAAAATGTACTTAAGTAGAAACACATACCCAATGTGCATACTGTACTTATAGATTAATGCTCAAAATCCCACTATATCATAGTTTAAATCTTTATATACATCTAAAATCACTTAATTTAAGAGAAAATAAGAAAAAGAATGACAGAATTCAGTCAATGAAAGTAAAAAAATAATTCATGTGAAGATAGTAGGTAGTATGCAGCTATCAAACAAGGAAGTGCTACTGCCTGGGAAGATATTGGAAGCATAAAGTGTTGTCTAATGTGCTTGGGTGGGCTAATCCCCTCCCCAAAAAATTTAAGTTCAACTTTATGGGACCTCATTCATATCAGCGGATGTTCGTAAGTCGGACGTATGTAACCCGGGGACCCCATGTACTGTAAAAAGCATTTCTAGTCTTACAAACTGGTCATGCATGATATAAACAGGAAATAGATATATGTCCTTATCACAGGTTGGCAACACGTGCTAGGAAGAGATGAGAATGTTTGTGAAGTGAAGTATGTAATGACGCAATAGTATGAGGTAAACAACACTAATTTGTAGGTAGTATGAAGTACAGGACACTTGCTTTACTATGTTATTACTATTTACACTATTAACAATCATTATTACTATTCCAGTAATTGATCACAGTACAGTACTAGATTTGTGCTTGGGGGTTGGGGAAGTAGAAACACATGGTGAAGTGAGTCGAGTCCAAGGAGGAGATTCCTACATCACGAAAGCTGTGAAGCTACTGAGAAGAAACTGGGAGGCTTTTATGTGTGAGTGAGTGAAAGATAAATACCTACTTGGCAATATAATCTAGCCAGGTCTGCCCTTTTTATTCAAACAGGCCAGCGAAAGATCAAAACGTCATGTGACGTGACCCGAAGCTTTACTGACACACGTCACAGGACATGACCTGAAGCCTAGGGGTTAATCACTTAGTATAGTATATTATTAATATGCTCTGTATAATTATCCCATGAGGGTTTTCTTAGTCATTTGACAAACATTTCAGGCATTACGTCATGCAAGAACTAGAATGACTCGTTCTCAATCGTTCTGCCACAGGCGTCTCGAGGAAATAGTAAAGAATGAACCTCAGCCATTATTATGCACTGTATGGATTTTTTTTCCATGAGTTGTGTGGAAGCACTGTGTATTTTGAGGTTTATTTATGAATGTTGCATTAATATAAAGTTATCTCATTGTATTGGAATGTTTGTGGAATATCTATGCAAATGTCTGATTACTCAGAATATGTCGTAAACTTTGAGAGTGTAGCATGAAGATATTCTTGTGGTTGTGAATAGAGTTTCAATGATGTTTCTTAAGTAAGTCATATTTAATATAGTATTAAAAAAACTAAACATATGAAGTTTATAGCTTTTATTTTTCAAAGATTTACCATATGTTTTAAGAAAGGGTTACTAGCAGTCTACAGAAGGTGGCTTCTTCCTGGGTAAGATGGGATTAGTTTGATTAGCTTGAGTTTTGTAATGTACTAAATTGAACACATTTCTTTTGTATGAATTGAACCACTGGTATATGTTGTTAATAATTCCCCTCTCAGTTTATTTATAATCAGTCATTATTCATGCTTCTCTGCCTGACAATTCTCATAATCCCCATTTTAAAAATCCATATCAACCACGTGAATTTTGATGAGTACAGTGCCCGGCACCATTCCCTTAACAAGGACTGAGCAAGGTGACCAGGGTGTTAGTATCTCTCCTGATGCTGCAGCCTCTTGATCACTAACCCTGATTAAAGTACCGCATTACTGTTTGTAACAGATTAACAGTAAAGCTTCCAATAACTAACACAAGTTATTCAATAATGTTTATCTTGGTGTGCATGTAATAGTGTAAGTATCAATCAGTCATGTGCATGAATTTTAAATACAGCTATACCTGTACAGTATTTATTTTTTCTTAGTAATTTACATGACTTCATTGTAAACTTGCATTTTGTTGTGAATAAATAACTGTATGTGATGCATATGTTACCATCAACACTGTATGTGATTATACTTACATGTGCCAGAGAAATAAAATAATTGGAGGATAGTACAGTACAGTGAACCCTCGCTTTACGCAGTTTCACTTTATGCGTTTCTACATTTACGCGGTACCCTGCCAGAACCGGAATTCCCACTTTACGCGGTGCATCTACTCATATACGTGGGTGAAGTATAATTTTTTTATTTAGCTCATTAAATTCATACAAATTATCCGGCCAGAATATAATTTACATTGCTGGAATTCTTACAATTTGATGATCATTTTGAATATAAGCATCATAGATTTTGCATTAGACATACAAATTTTAGATCTAATGCAAGTATTTTGTTTACTCAGAGCAAATATGTTATCTTTTGTGCTAAATATATGACGTGTATATTCAAAACATTCCTTGTCTTGCAAGGAATCCAGCAATGTCAATTATATTATCCTAACTTTAGTCTGAGGTATTATTTATTACTAAAAATGTAAATATACTGTTATAACCCAATCATTTCTCTGGTAGGGAGGGAAGGTGGGGTATTTTGATTGACAGATAGTATTTCGGTAAGTATAATTTGTTTATTTATTGAAGATATTTGTTTTAGCTCATAAAATTCATACAAATTACCGGGCCAGAATATAATTTACATTGCTGGAATTCTTACAATTTGATGATCATTTTGAATATAAACATCATAGATTTTCCATTAGACATACAAATTTTAGATCTACTTTAAGTATTTTGTTTACTCTGAGTAAATATGTTATCTTTTGTGAAAAATATATGACATTTATATTCAAAATATTCCTGGTCTTACAAGGAATCCAGCAATGTCAATTATATTATCCTAACTTTAGTCTGAGGTATTATTTATTACTAAAAAGGTAAATATTCTGGTTTCTCCCAAACATTTCTCTGGTAGGGAGGGTTGGTGGGGGGTGGGGGGGAGGGAGGGACCATCTGGCGAGGTTGGAAGAGGGGGGGAGGCAAGGTGGGGTGTTTTGATTGACAGATAGTGTCGTGAAGAATATTTTTTTTTTTATTAACTTAAGATATTTATTTTAGCTCATAAAATTCATACAAATTACCCGGCCAGAATATAATTTACATTGCTGGAATTCTTACAATTTGATGATCATTTTGAATATAAACATCATAGATTTTGCATTAGACATACAAATTTTAGATCTAATGTAAGTATTTTGTTTACTATGAGTAAATATGTTATCTTTTGTGCAAAATATATGACATTTATATTCAAAATATTCCTGGTCTTACAAGGAATCCAGCAATGTCAATTATATTATCCTAACTTTAGTTTGAGGTATTATTTTTTTACTATACTTTAAAATCTAGTGGTTTTCCCCCAAACATTTCTCAGAGAGGGAAGAGCCAGCGAGTGTGAGAAGAGGGGGAGGGAGTTGAGCCCATTATATGAATGGACATTAACTCGGCGACTGTATTTCTCTTAAGTATTAATTGTGTGCATGTACCATCATAAAATTAAGATGTTATTTTTACTAGAACATAGGTATTGTGTCGGAAAAAGTGGAGTTTGGGGGTCAGCCGGTCTCTATTTCATTTAATCCCATATGTTATGGTGTTCACTTTGCGCGTTTCTCGCTTTACGCGGGCCTCCGTGGGTTCAATTGACTGCGTAAAGTGAGGGTTCACTGTATTGAACTTAATAGTGCATGATTTAGTAAATATATCTGAATATGGGAGTCTTAATTCAGTTTTGTCAGTGTATGTAAATTGGGAAGTAGTAGACATTTGTTTATTCCAAGTGCAGTAAAATTGGAGTAGGTAGGTTAGGGGACATGGAAATGAGTCCAATTCCACCAGTCTTTTAGAGAAACTACTAAAAAAATTTTATGAAAGGAGTTTTCTGCCTTGCATGTTTTTATTACACTGGTATGTTCTTGGCAAAACTTGGGAGGAAATGAATCATGATATGAAAAAATATATATTTTGGATAGAACAGGCATCTTAGTGAACTGGATAAAATCTAGGGTTTTGCTTACTGAGTATTTGCCATGAACAGATCTGTGATGGTATACAGGAAATGGGTTGGTTCGTCTTCCAGCTGAAATTCACTAATAACTTTAGAAGCACACATGTTATATTCCCAGGAGGGAAAGCACTGACAGTACTAGCATCGGGTGCTTGAGTTTTGTAACGCTTGTAGTGAAATTCGGGAGGCTTTTTCTCATGGTAATAGTTTTGAGGATGACTCGGCTTTTGCATACTACTGTGATCCCTTAGGAAGCTGAAAATGGCACATCATTGTTGAATGTACTAAATATGTACATTTCTCTTGAGAATGACTAGTTAGACTGGACAGCTTTTTCCAATAAAGGATAATGAGTACAGTATAAGAAAATCTGTTTTTTATGAATTTTCATGTGAAGGAGATAATGGTGCCTTTCATTTTTATATGAGAGATGCAGTTAGAGGGAGAAGTACAGTAAAACCTTGATAACTCAGCACTTAAGGGGCTTTGGCCTTGCTGAATTATCTCCAAATCCGACTTATCGAAGCACTCCCCCTCCCCTTACAAAAATACAACAATGTAAAATTATTAGCATATATATATATATATATATATATATATATATATATATATATATATATAATTACTAATTTTAAAAAGGTAACACTTGCTAGCACTGTAGGCAGAAAATGAACCATTGTAGTATGCAAGAGGCATGGTAGGTGACACAGAGACGTTGAGGTGATGGAGGGGAAATGCTACATAAACAATAAACAGTGTGGCTTTTATGTATACTGAACTATTGTGATTTGGTCACTTCTACAAAATAAAGAATAAGTTTTAACAAATAATTGTTGTCTATGTATAATTCAAGTCTGAGTATGTAAATATGCATGGTAACTTATATCACTTAGAACATTACAGTCCACCCTAGTAAAACCGTTTTCTTTGTTACAGAGCAAAAGAATAAAAATTAAAACACTTTAATGTGGTTTACAAAGAAAATGTAATATAAAATTATAAAATATGAAAAAATGAAGAGCATAGGTGTGTATGTGTAGGAAGTGAACGTATATGTGGAGGCAGTGGCTAACTCACCCGTCTCCCTCCCCTTAATGTGACATCACAGCAGACACACACGCACACACACGTCTCAGTCAGTTGGTTGATTGCCTGGCTGAACTGTGGCATCACTTAGATGATGGTTTGAGTGTGGAAGGAGGTATTTTTGTACATATAATGTGCTATTGTATTTTATATGTTATGTATCAATTTTATTGTTTATCAGCAATTGTTGTTTAAAAACTGGTTATAGCGCTACTGCTGTCACACAAACAAATAAATGACATCAGTTGCTTTTAGATTGTTGGACTAAATTAGAAATTTACCAAAGGGTGCAAAGTTGGGATACCTAGAAGATTCATATAGTTGGAATTAGGATAAAATGGATTGCACTGTAAATTAAATAAAGTCTACGACATTGGATTTACTGTAATAGTGGAGACGTACTGCATACAGTGGCTGGTCTGACGTGAATGGGGGAGGTTGTTCGGTATTGTTGGGTTAGTACCTTAGGAACCAAAATTTACCAGGAATGCTGAATATTAATTCTGGTGCCCTAGACACTCTATGGTGCAATGTAAAGTACTTTATACCCAAAATATTGGGGTGCTTCAACACCTTCCATGTACGTACTGAGTGGAGTGAGCTAGCGCGCTCCTGATCACACGTGGCCAAATATGCCAAGATAATTTTATATAACTCAGCATTTCCCAAGTTATTTTATAATTAATTCCAAGACCATATATGTTATGAATTTTGTGAAATTCCGAGATATCGAATGCTGAGTTATCAAGGGTTTACTGTATCTTGGTTTTGATTAGTAAAAGTCGGCAGTGTCAAACATAAAAGCATGGTCCCAGTAGATCTCCTACATTATGGGACATTTTTAGTATTATTCATTCTTAAACTAAAGCTCTGCTATTAAATGGTTATTCATATTTTTGGGATCTTCAGTGTCAAAATATAATGATTCCATACATTTAAATATTCATTGGAATTACCTTGGATTCTTTCCTTGGAAGGTTGTCTTTGGTGGACTTATATGTGATGTAAGATAA